GGATCACATGACGATGCCTCACACCTCTCACACTTAAAAGTGATTATGGAGGCATGTTTTGGGGGAACATAGGCAACTCGGAGATCCCCACTCACCCTTGTTCTCATAAGGCCTCTTCAGACTCCCCTGGAACTGTGTTAGCTCAACAGCGCCAGTCACAAAGGCAGTGCAGTGCCCTGTGGGAAGTTAGCTAGCTGTGCCTCAGTGCCATCTCTACCACCCACGAGCTGTGCGACGCCGGGCAACACACTTAACTCTTGGAATTCTCTACTTCCGTCCCTGTGCAAATGGTAATACTAAAATCTATTTCATAATTGCTTGTTAAAATATATTCGCTAAGAAATAAGATTTATTCATTAGATAAAATAATGGGTGGCTTCGTACATACTAGGTATCTGCAAAATATTTTCTTCCTTTCTCTCTCCTTTCTCCCTTTCCTTTCTTTTGCCAGAGTTTGTGCTAGATGCTGCTGGAAGTAAAAACACAGGTATGGCCTAGAACCTGCCCGTGAGCTGCTTTGGACTATAGTTCAGGCAGAAATNTTGAGCTGCTTTTGACTATAGTGCAGGCAGAAATGTAATTGTTCCACAAGAGGGGTAAGTAAGTTGCCTGGTGGAGCACGGAGGAGGGNGTGAGCTGCTTTGGACTATAGTTCAGGCAGAAATGTAATTGTTGTTCCACAAGAGGGGTAAGTAAGTTGCCTGGTGGAGCACGGAGGAGGGAGGAATTAGAAGAGTGGCTTTTGAGAAGGAACTTCACGAACTGGTGGGATTTCTCCTCACTTTTTTCCCCTTCTCTTTCCTTCCACTCTTCTTTTTTCTTCTTAAACAAGTATTGACCCAGAATTAAAAATGTTCAGAGGCAGAAAAGGCTCAAAGCGCAGCCTGTGTGAGACTCTGGTCCTCTCTCAGCCTGGCTTTCCCTCTTGTGTCGGCTTTGTCCTCAGGAGAATGGATACTAGGGAGCAACTCACAGTTGTCTCTTGCAAACTCAGTTCCCAGAAAAACAGCACATGTGCAAACATATGTTTGCATCCGATTGTAGGAGCCCATCCACTGGTCCTGGATTTATCAACTCTGAATGAAGGTAACAGCCATGGGGAGTTAAGGTGATGGTCATGGTGCTCCTTTCCCTTTCTTGAGGTAAACTTAAAAGTTCCCTCCTTTTAAGGGGGAGCTATCCTGAGTGCTTTTTGGGGGTGGGGCAGGGGGTGGGAGAGGGCTCTGGAATCAAACTTGCTGGTTGAGAACGAGATTTTAGCAACTAGTGATGAGGGAGAAGCTGGTCCAGGCCGAGGGAATGGCATGAGCATAGAAAGGCCCTGGGATAGGCACGCTTCGGGATGTTTGGAGAAGTGAGTCGACAGGTCTGAGTGTGGGGGGGTTCCAGCAGGAAGTTCCAGGTGACAGTTTGGCGTCAGACTGTGCACGGCTGGAGGGGTAGGAGTAGGACTTTCTTCAGTTTCAGGCAGTGGAATCACTGGACATTGTTACATAGCATTTATCACGGTTGTAATTTTACACTTGTGTGATTATTTGGTTGCTGCCGGCCACTCCCGCCCGCCCGTCAGCTCCAGTGAGCACAGGCACTGTGCCCTGTCTGCTCCCCTCTGTACCCCAGCGCTAGCTGAGAGCCTAGCACGTAACAGGTGCTCAGCGCACACTTGGGGAATGAACACATGGATGAATGATGAACGAATGGTTCTGAGTGGGGAGAGACACGTTTGGATCAATGTTTCCAATACATACGAACTTTGGTACTTGATTGGATTCTCCTTCACGGTTCCCTTCTTTCCTCATCAACAGTCATCAAGCAGGGGCAGGAACTGGCAGCCTGTCGGCCAGGCCTTCCCGAGTCTAGGCAGAGCAGATCTGCTGAGCTCTCCCGAGAGGTGTGCAAATTATGTTGGCATCTGTAAAGTCACCGTCCTGTGCACACACTAGTTGACTAGAGGCAGCTTGAGATAATGTAAAAACATGCATTTCTGGAACCAGATAAGACAGTTTCAAATTTTAGTTCTACTTAGTATTATTTATAAATCTCTCAGAAATGACTTCACTTCTCTGTTTTCCTCATCTATAAAACAGGACTGGTAATAAATATCTACTTTATAGTGTTGCTGTGAGGATTAAATAAACTAGTTCCTATAAAGGGGCTGGCACATTGTAGGTTCTCTTTATGTTATTTTTTACATTTTATTTTCTCATCATGTACTCGAAAATTGCAAGACAGTGTTAATTTCATTTTTCTGATTTTGAAAACAACTTCATAGTGTAGAAAACTTGGTCTATAGAGAAAGGTCTAAAAAACAAATTAATAACTTTATAAAGCTGCATTTGGGATAACCAGTTAGCATTTTGATGTGTTCCCTTCTAGTGTTTCCTCTATTAATGAGAAACTTGCTTTATTTTAAATAGGTAATTCCTCCTCATGGCATACAATTCAAGGGGGTACAAAAAGGTAAACAGTGAAAACTAATTCTTCTTCTTTACCCCGAACCCAGCCACCAGGTCCCCTCGCCAGAAGCAATCACTGTTACCAGGTTCTTAGGTGGCTCCCAGAGATTTTCTATATATTTAGAGAATTGGTTTGATTTTCATACCATCTTCCTCTCCCGCAAGCTCTGGCGCGGTGTACCTGCTGTTTATCTCTGGAGGCTGCCACATGAGCGAGTTAGTTCCCTTTCAGCACATAGATGTCTCTGTGGGCAGGGCCACAAAGGGCTCTGGTTACAGGTTCTGAGGGCTCAGCGAGGCTTGGTCTCGGTTGTGTATTTTTACTCTTTGAACTGAAAGTCTGCGAACAACTGAACAGGTGTTAGAATTCTCAGTCTCAACCGTTTCCACAGTTGCTCATGCGAGGAGCAGATCTGCAGATGGTTGGGGCCAGCAGACAGGGATGTCTGAAGCAGAATTCGGTCTTTCTCCAACATCACATTGACCCTCCATCAATGTTTTCTGAACTGATAATTCGAAAGTGTGGTGTGATAGGGAAAGATAATATTTTGCAATTGGAAATGATCTAAACAATCAGGGATGTATGTCCCTAGATTGCCCTGGAGTGAAGGGTGAAGCCTAAGTCAGCTTGATCCACTCTAAGTCCTGTGCCCACCCCCATCCTTCATGCCCACATCCCTGCTACCCCCAGGTCCTGACACTAGAGCTATCTCCTTGGCAGGCCTGCCAGTCTATGCTCTCACCAGGCCCTATCTTCAGACAAGCCCTCCCTGCTTGGCTCCCTTTTTCCAATCTTCTGCTAAATTGATCAACTTAAGAACATTGAGAACTTGACCTTATAAGGGGCCCTGTGGACAGGAGGGGAGATAGGAGATTGGACTTGTTCAAATTAAGGTCTAGAGAACAATGAATAGGAATGAACTGATGCATTTGAGACACCTCATCAGTAAAATGAATATTAAATAACATAATGGATATGACAGTGCTCTGTCAGCTGTAAAGGGCTGTATATACAAAAGGGGCTCATATTATGAGGATGGTGATAATTGAAAAATAAGACACAAAAGCCAATCAATTTTACAAATTGATTTTCATTACAATAGTGTTACTTATTCATTTTAGAGAATTTAGAAAGTATATAAATAAACACAATTCTCATAGTCTTATCAGACAGTAGTGGTGCCAGTTTCTGTTTCTTTGACAACAAATTTTGCCACAAGACTTACCCTGGTCAGTTCAGTGTGAGTGGGAATGAATGGCATGCACTACTTCTGAGCAAAAGTGTTAAAAGCCACCGTTTTTCTCTTGTCACAAGACCAGCAAATCTAAGTCAAGGGCTTTTGCATTATCCTGGGTCATGGAATGAAGAGCCCAGTGAAAAACATGTAATGAGAAATAACATTTACTGTAAGCCCCTGAAATTTGGGGATTGTTTTTTACTGCAGCATAATTAGTCCTATGGAATCTGATACACAGAGAGAGTGACAACTGTTAATATTATCCTTCAGTCTTTTTTCTAGGCCTATATTCTGTATATCTTTTTTTTTTTTATTTAAAAAATTAGGATATAATGCACCTGTGATTTTTTGAAGTGCTTTTTCATTTTATCTGCAAGTATTTCAGTACATATCTCTAAAAGGTAAGATGCTTCTTTAAACATAGCCATACTATTATCACACTTAAAATTATAACAATTGTTTCACATCACCAAATATTAGTTATTGCACAAATTTCTGACTTTTAAAATTATTTTATTTAAATCAGGGATCCAAATAAGGTTCCTACTTTGTGAAAGGTTGATGTGTTTCTTAAATATCTTTTCATCCTTAGGCTCTCCCTTCCCTCCCCCCTTCCCCTTGTGATGTATTTGATGAGGAAATTGAACTGCTTGTTCTGTAGAGTTTCCCACAGCCTGGATTTTGCTGATATTCCCATGGTGTCATTTGACATGTCCCTCTTTCTCCTACATGTAGTTATACATGGATTACCATCTTCACGGGAGGTCAGCAACCCAGACCCCGCATTGTTTCAAGGGTTAACTGTATTTCCTTTTTTAAAAAGTATGTTTGTTTTTATTGATTTTAGAGCGAGAGGGAGAGAGAGTGAAACATCAGTGTGAGAGAGAAACATCCATTGGATTGGCTGCCTCCTGCCCACACCCAGACTGGACCAAGCCTGCAACCTGGGCATGTGCCCTGACTGGGAACCAGCCTGCGACTTTTCGGTGCATGGGTCCACGCTGAACCAACTGGGCCACACCGGCCGGGGCTCAGCTCTATTTCCTGTAGTTGCTGATTAAATCTAGAGGCTTGATCAGATTCTATGAACAGATTTTTAAACTTAAAGCATTATAAAAATTTTCTATGCCATTTACTATTCTTCTACAAAATGTTTTCTTAATGACTACAGAGCTGTCAAAAGCACGAATGTATTTTTATCTATTTAGCTAGTGCCAATTTTTCACTACCACACACACAATTCACTGATAAACCTCTTGTGGACTAGGCGTTTTTGGTCTCATTCGCTGCCCTTCTGTTCTCCTAGTTCCTGCGGATGGTGGATGCCTGCGCCAGCTTCCTCACAGAAGCCTTGAACCCAGAGAACTGTGTTGGAATACTGAGGCTGGCAGACACACACTCCTTGGACAGTCTAAAGAAGCAAGTTCAAAATTACATCATCCAAAACTTTGTGCAGATTCTGAACGCCGAGGAGTTCCTTGAGCTTCCCGTGGACACTCTGTACCACATCTTGAAGAGTGATGACCTGTACGTGACGGAGGAGGCCCAGGTGTTTGAGACGGTGATGAGCTGGGTCCGGCACAAGCAGCCCGAGCGGCTCTGCTTGCTCCCCTACATCCTGGAGTACGTGCGCTTGCCGCTTCTGGACCCGTGGTACTTTGTGGAGACGGTGGAAGCGGACCCTCTCATCAGGCAGTGCCCCGAGGTCTTCCCGCTGCTCCAGGAGGCCAGGATGTACCACCTTTCCGGCAACGAGGTGAGATAGGAGGCGCTGTAGGTGCCCAGTGGGCCTCACAGAGACATGGGTGAGGCTGGCTGGCGAGGATTTATAGTTTATAGTTTGAGTCGGGCGGTTCCAGAAGCCCTGGATTTCTGATCTGCAAAATGGGGATGACAATGCATCGTAGACAACTATTGAGAGGATTAGGCGAGGTAACAGAAGTCACCCAGCACCACGCCTGGCACATCCTTCCTCTTGCCAGCTGTGTCAGGGCAGGAGGTTGGTGGGGGTAACCCGCACAAGGACAACATGTGCCCTGTCCAGTCGCCGTTCCACGGGGTGCTGCTGTTGTCTTGCCCACTCTGGGAAACCTGATGTTCCCTTAGTTCAGGCTCTTACTATTTCCTTCCCAAATTTCTGGAAGTTCCTCAAAATTCACCTTCCTGCCCCAGTCTGGCCTCTCTCCAGTTCATTCACCAGCTGGATGATCTAAAACTCAAGCCTAATCATTTCTCTCTTAGGTTTGCCTTCTTCACTGAGTCCCCACTGCTTTCAGGATAAAGCCCACTCGTCCTGCCCGAGCTCCCAGGGCCTGGCCCCCCCACTTCGCCTCCTGCTGCTTCTCCAGCCCCTTTCTTCCTCCTCAGTCCAAAGGCACTGCTTGTACTTCCCCAAAGCGGACTTGCTTTTTCAGCCTCCAGGCTGACGCAGGTGCTGTTCAGATGCCATTTTCCTCTTCTTCATCTAGTCAACTTCTGCTCCTGTGTTAAAACTCAGTTGGAGCGTAATCTCCTCCAGAGGCCTCTCATTCTCACAGCATCTGACGCATTGCTGTAGCGTAACAGCAACCGCTGCATGTTAACCGCTGAATTCCTCATCTGTAAATATCTCTAGGCTGGGGGCTGGCCATGGCAGAAAGTATGTTGTATTGGCATTTTCATCTCCAGACCTTAGGAGATTCCCTGGTATATAGTAAGTGATTGATAAATGTTTGTTGAATGAATAAATGAGGAATACACATATCATTTGAATCTACCTGGTTCTCCTTAAAAATAGAAAAAATATTTTATTCATTACTGTATAAAGATGAGACGAAGCTTAGCGGAGAAGACTAAAGCAATCAGGAGGTAATGATATAGGGACAGTTAAATTTATACACATGAAACTCACACATATTACCCATATTACCACTATACAATAGTTCTGGGGTTGGCTACCCAGCCTTCTTCAGTAGGCCATTGATAGTTATCTTAGCCAAAAGTGGCTTAGGAATTATCTGTGTGAAGCTCCTTGGCAGAGCTGGGAATTGGGCCCTGCTCTGCTGGCTCTATAGCCTGAGCTCTGAACTACTGCGTCATCCTGTACTCCTATTGGTTTTCCAGATCATTTCTGAGCGCACCAAGCCCAGGATGCATGAGTTCCAGTCTGAGGTGTTCATGATCATCGGCGGCTGCACCAAGGATGAACGGTTTGTGGCAGAGGTAACCTGCCTGGACCCCCTGAGGCGCAGCCGCCTGGAGGTGGCCAAGCTCCCGATGACGGAGCATGAGCTGGAGAGTGAGAATAAGAAGTGGGTGGAGTTTGCATGCGTGACATTAAAAAATGAGGTCTACATCTCAGGTAAGCAGGAGCCGCGTGATGCTGAAGCAAGCCCCCAGTGGCACTACGCATTTTCCTGAGTGAGTGCAGGCAGGACCCTAGAAGAATTACTGTAAATGGCAATGATGTCACTTTGACTGGGTCAGGAGGTGGAAACCAGGAGTTCAGGTGGTCTTGTCTTAAAAAGTACACGATTACTCGATGAACACTAACCTGTGAGCAGCACTGTACTAGGATCTGGGGCAGCAGGCCCAGAGGCCCAGTCCTTCATAGAAGAGGAACAACTGGAGTTTATTCGGTGTCTGCTATAGGCATAGTATACTAAGCTTGTCACTGGGAATACAGTAATGAATAAAAATGTCTGCTCTTCATATACTTATTAGCTAACTGTATTTATTTTTTAAATGATCTCTTCATACATTTTATTTTTCTATTGGCTGTTTGTCTTTTTCTTAAGTTTTTGGAGCTCTTATTATATACCTTTTGCTATTTGTATCACAAATACTTTCTCTCAGGCTGCGATTGCCTTTTAACTTTGATTTATATTTTATATAGTAACTTTCTTATATGATTCTGGGTGTGGGTTTCAAATATTGCTTAGATAGTCCCTCTCCACCCCAAGGTCATTAACATCTTCTCCTATATATTCTTCAGTTACTTTTAAAGCATTTACGTTTGAGGTTTATTTTAAGGGTAATGTGAAATAGGTATCTATCTTAATTTCTCTCTAAATGAATAGCCAAGCGTTCTAATACCATTTATTGAGCAATCTCACTATCTTTTAGTCCATTCTGCGCTCTTGTCATTTATCTGTTTGTGTGGTCTGGGGCAGCACCACGTGGTTTTATCATAGCTTTGTAGTATAGCATGCATTTGCTAGGGAAAGCCCCCTCCATTCTTCTTTCTCAAAAGTTCCTTAGAAATCTTTCCAAATTTACTCTTCCCAGTGAAATTCAGAATGATCTTTTCAAGTTCCTTGAAAAGTCCTGAAGGCACTAAATAAGTGGGTTTATCGCAATAACGAGACTTCTCACCTAGGTACTTGCTATGCCTGCCTAGTGAATCAGGCCTGCTTTTATGTTCTGGAGTAAAAGTCATCGCTTTTCTTCTTTTTAATAAAATCTGCATACATTTCTTCGAAAGTTTATAGTTATTTAATAATTAATGACACTACCTAAATGGGACCAATATCACAGTGTTTTAAATAAATAGAGGTCTCTAAAAGGTACACGGTCCAAAGAAAAACAAGTAAACTAAATGAACAAAAAGTGTACAAAAGAGAAAAAAGCTCAGTCTCCCTAATAGCCAGGGAAAACCAAACTGTGGCATTATTTTATCCATTAGGCTATAAAAAACCAAGTCTCCCCAAACAATCCAAAAATCTCTCCTCACATCCACTGTGGGTGGGGTACGGGGAAAGATCAACCAGGGCAGCTTTAGAGGGCTCTTTGGCAGCACCTATAGAAATTCAAAGGTATGGACACCCTTGACCTAGGAAACCCACTTCTGGGCTCCATCCTAGAGAAACACTTACCCCTGATGACATGGAGCATCGTGTGAAGGTCACTGCCGTACTAGGGCGCCAGGGCACATGCCTAAGTCTGAAAGGTACATCTTTTCCGTTAAGTAGTTGGTACTCTGTGCTGATGGGTAAGTGGAAACACAGAGCCGTTAAAATATTTGATTAAAGTCACCAAAAAAGACAGTTCTCCTTTGTTTTGTTCTCTCTTCCTAACTAAATTATGTATTTTCTTTACTTAGAGAGTTGTCTTGAAAACATTATTTACCAGCTCACTTTCACATTTTTTATTGTGAGCATCTCATTCTTTTATAATAAAAATTGTTTTACAACAGGACAACCCTCACTTATATTTTTTATATAGATATAAACCCAGAGAACTTTTAAATATTTCTTGGTTTGCATTTTTAAAAAATACATAAGCAAACACAGAATGTAAGCTGCTTTTTAATTTGCATGCTTGTCAAGGAAGGTGCTACTATCCCCGCCTGCAACCGTCCAACCTTACCTGTCCTGCCTTACATCCTGCCTCTTAGCCACACAAACACGCAGCCCAGGCTCCTGCTGGCCCGCCTTCACAGGAGGACATGGTCCCACCTCTCTGAAACCCAGCTCTTCCCTGAGCTCTCAGGGCACAGAGGTGACACAGGACACAGTCTGGAGAATTATTCACCCCAGCCTCACACTGTCTCTCCGTTCCCCTGTGTTGGCTCTGTCTCCCTAAACAGATCACACAAAGCCTTCAGGATTTCTTTTCTCTTTTCTTAGAGGGCCTGGCCTGGGGATTTAGCATTTATGGACCTGTGGGAAATTATGGGAGAAACTGTATTTCTGACACATCTAGTGGCATCTTAAATGCTCTGCATCTCTTCTAGGTGGCAAAGAAACACAGCATGATGTTTGGAAATACAATTCTTCGATCAACAAATGGATTCAAATTGAGTATTTGAACATAGGCCGCTGGAGGCATAAGATGGTGGTGCTGGGTGGCAAGGTTTACGTGATTGGAGGTTTCGATGGCTTGCAGAGGATCAACAATGTGGAGACCTACGATCCCTTCCACAACTGCTGGTCAGAGGTATCGGAGATTATGTCTATGGGTAACTCTGTTCGTATTATTACCTCAAGGCTTAAGGAAGGGTAAATGTCAATGGCAGTATATGGCCTTCTGATCACTTAGCTCTTACTGAGAGCATTTTTGGTCGCTCTGAGCTTCCCTGCTCATAAGAGCCATTGCTTTAGCATTGCTGATCATGTCACAGAAATGACTTCCTTCCAGCTCTGTGGACACCTGTCCTATCCTGGCCAGAACTCCAGATGTGGAGGGGAGGCTTGGTCTTAACGTGGGTGCATGTCTTGGCCCATAGTCTCTGTGTCCTCAGATGCCATCTGTCCTTGTCTTCTCCACACAGGACACACAGGGATCCCTTTAACACAGTTTGTCGAATGCAGAGTCATTTGGTAGTGCTTAGAAGTCAGCCTTTGTTTATTTGTTTATTTGCTTATTTGCTTATTAATGAATGATCATTTACATATCTGCATACAGGAGTTTAACAATACAAACTCAGGTATATATCACACTCAGGCAAAGGTAAGGAATTGCTAGTCAATGGGCATAAAGATCGGTAAGCTCTGGAGATCTGCTGTACAACACTGTGCCTACAGAGAAACCAATACTGTGTTGTACACTCAAAAATGTGTTAAGAGGGTAGACCTCATGTTAAGTGTTCTTACCACAACAATTTTTTTTTTTTAAATAAAGGTGATCTCACTTCCTGGTATTTCCAGGTTATTCCCATTTTCATATTTTCTTTTTCCTTATCAGACCATATGTCAGAGCATGTTCTGGCTTTGAAGGGTGTAAAGCATGGTCATTGTAGGTACAGCAAAGGTAGCCAGGTGCTCATGGCATCCAGCCAAGACCTGTCAACCTGAAGAGTGCCAAATAGGGAGCCCTTAATGTTTGGGTGGGGGGTGTACCTAAGATCTCCGTTCAGCAAGTCTTATTGCTTGGCACTTGTGGGTTTCTCCATGACCCAAGAGGGTCATGTTAATGGGCAAGAAGCTCTTGGAGGTTTCCTTTAGTGCCCTGGGGTTCACAGGGTGGGAGCACAAGTCTGGCCTCAGAATCTGCATGTTGCCCCAGAATGGGAGAGTCTGCTTACCTGTGGCCACTTGTAACCCTTTTACTAGTTTTTCTTCCCGGATATTATAAGCACCAAGGATAATGCCTGGCATATAATAAATAATTTTTGGGTGAATAAATATATGAATGAATATGAATATGCATGTTTGAGAAAGCATTTTCCCCCAACACTGGCTAGTTTCATCTGTGTAAACACTTATTCTTGTTAATACCCCTTCCCACCTAAGCACTGAATTCTGGGAGAAACAGGCTGGAAACATCCAACACCTGCCCAGAGTCTGGAGGGATGGTGAGGGATGTGTTCTTTGATCCTTTCTGTGTCTCAAGGGGAGTCAAAGCTATAGGCCTTGTGACTTTAGGCAAAGGATGCCCAGGCTTGTGTCCCCTGGCTCCTGGCCTGTGTCCTGTGGGTAATGCGACTGACAACTTCTCCTGGGGACCCGTGTCTCTGCAGGCTGCACCTCTCCTTGTCCATGTCAGTTCCTTCGCAGCCACCAGCCATAAGAAGAAGCTCTATGTGATTGGGGGAGGGCCCAATGGGAAACTGGCCACGGACAAGACTCAGTGTTACGATCCTTCAACCAATAAGTGGAGTTTAAAGTCGTCCATGCCAGTGGAGGCTAAATGCATCAATGCAGTGAGTTTCCGGGACCGCATCTATGTCGTTGGTAAGTAAGAAATGGCTTCCTATTCATCCGAGGTCCCCCACCCATACAGTCATGCAGGTAGATCAGACAAAGCCCTCTTGGGAGCTCACAAATTCCTGGTTGAAAGGAAGAGAAGATGGGATTGGTCCAGGCCTTGATGGGATTTCCCTGGTGGTCCAGGAGGCAGAAAATAGCTCACATTTAGGAGATACACAAAGCAGATCATCCCTGGGGCCCAGGGGAAGAGCTAGAAGTTGCTGCAGGAACATGTATAGGCATTGAAGTATGACAAGTGTCTGATAAACATAGGCTATCATTATTTCTTATTTTGTGTTCACGGAAATTTTACTCTCTCTACTTGCTTTGGGGGCTCTGAAAAGCTGCAGTTTGCCAGAAGTTGGCATGTACTTGTTAAGGATGATGGCTCTTAGTTCTGACTACTCATTAGAATCACCTTGGGAGCTTATCACAAAAGTATGGGTGGCTTGGCCTCACTTCAGACCAATGAAATCAGAACGGGAAAGAGGGTGTTGGCCAACTGTGCAAGTGTTTTTTAATGTACAGGTGACTTTAATGTGCAGCCAGAACTGAGAACTACTATAAAAGGAGATGCCAAAAATAAATAACGTCAGCAAATAAGCGCTAATCAGAGAAGTAAAATATGGGAACAGAATAAGGAAACCCCCCCCTCTCCCTTGCTTCAGGTTTCATGTGTGTTTATGGTCAGGCTCATGACTCTGCTTAAAGGTCTCATCTGGAGACGAGTAACGGGCTCGTATCCCAGGCCAGGCTCAGTCTGCAGAAGGGCTGCCGCCTGTGGTTGCTGTTACCTAGCGATGGCTTCTATGTACCAGGCCTCATGCCAGTTATTTCATGCTCACGGACCTTCTGACGTCCATAATCACATGCTCCTGGTTACAGATCAAAAAGTGGCAGAGCTGGGATTAGGAGTGGAGTCTCCCTGATGCACCAGGTGTTATTTCTGACAGGGAGCAGTCTTGGGGTACATTTTGGCAGCCAGGGGAAGCCAAGCGTGTCCCTTGCAACCTGATTAACACCCGGCTGCAGATTTTAAAGGCGATGCACAGTGTCTCCAGCACTCCCCGCCCCTAGTGATCCGCTGCGGGGTTTGAGAGACCCACATATCCATATTTTCTCTGGGCAAGAGGGTAGACTTGACCTAATCAGAGGAGGGTTTTAGTGGTGAAAGGGCAAGAAAACCAGAAAAGTGGTGAAAGGCCCCCGTGCCCCTCTGTCTCCAGGCGGGGCCATGAGAGCGCTGTACGCCTACAGCCCGCTGGAGGACAGCTGGTGCCTGGTGACGCAGCTCAGCCACGAGAGGGCCAGCTGCGGCATCGCGCCCTGCAACAACCGGCTCTACATCACCGGCGGGCGCGACGAGAAGAACGAGGTCATCGCCACCGTGCTCTGCTGGGACCCCGAGGCCCAGAAGCTGACGGAGGAGTGCGTGCTGCCGCGGGGGGTGTCGCACCACGGCAGCGTCACCATCAGAAAGTCGTACACCCACATCCGGAGGATCGTGCCCGGAGCCGTGTCGGTCTGAGCGCGGGAGGCGCGGTCGCCCGGGGGCCCGACAGCGCCGCCTGGGGACGCTCCGCCCGGGGACG